GGGCGGGGGAGCCGCCGGGTGCAGGAGGGAGCGGCGGGGAGAGCAGTTTTCCCGTTGGGATTCTCACTTTCGGTGCCCCCCCCGGCCTGGCGGGGCAGGGCAGGAGCCCCCGCGGGCCCTCCCCGCGGAAACTGGGTGGGAAGGGGCAGAAAGGGCCCGTTTTTCACCCAACTTGTTGAGCACGGATCCCCCTGCGCGGCTTGGGTGGGAAAGTCTGGACCCCGGGAGCGTCGTTTCCGCGCTACACGAGGCCAGGGTTGTGATCCCGGCCTGGAGGGTGTGAGGCAATGGAAGGAAAGCACAGAAATTCCAGTGATTAAAGCGTTTTCCCATCTTGCTGCAGCGTGGGGTCCCGTCCAAGCACAGGAGGGGGCTGGAGGAGCTGCTGCCCCCGGGTCCCCGGCCCTGGATCCAAGGGATCCTTCCATATTTTTGGAAGGCACTGGGATGAACCATCCTGTGCTTCCCTGCTCTCCGCGCTTGCCCAAGGCTGGACCCGCAGGATCCCCGGTGCAAAACCCCCCATTAAACCCCCGCAGCAGGGGCTGCGGATCATGGGGTTATTTTAAGCAGCCGTGGCCCGAGCTCATTAGAGCTGTCACATTTGCCTCGTCCAAAAGCTTTTCCTGTCCTTGCCACGGTATTTTTAGTGAAGCACAGTTGTCCGAGGAAACAAGCCCTCACCTAAAATAGAGAAGATGAATAAGCAAACAGCTCTTTAATTTATTTGCGACTCTGTAACACAGAACCGCTTCTCCAGGCACATCCCGAGCCTCAGAAACCTGTTTTCTTTAGACACCAGTAGAGTTTCCAACATGAAGACACGAGGCCCCGTTCCCCACATCCCCCTGCAGCAGCACAGGCTCTGCACACAGGTCACCTCAACCCTCCTGCAAGGACCTCAGCACATGTCACCCCTGCATCCCTTCTCTCCGAGTCCTGGCCCGTCAGAAATAAATATGTTGTGGCAACGAGCTCCACAGGTTACACATTGTGTGCAAGTTTTAATTGAAAGTTAAATTATTTAAGACATTTGCTTACAGGCAACAGTAGCGGTTGCTCACTCTGTACATTGCATTTATTAGACATCAACAAGGAAAAACAGAACATTTGGCACAAGAATGCCAGTATTTTTTTATTATTATTATTTTTGGACACATGAACACAAAATATCCCTGCAGGCTAAAAAAAAATAATAATAAAATAAAATACATTGCAAGTTGTACACGACCAGCATCTTACTGCAACATGGGGCTGCTAACCTGCCCAGAACAGTTTAGAAAGTACCTCGTATTGCTATAGACATACATCCAGTCCAAATTTAATAAAATACAATTTAAAACATTACAAGTCTAACAATATAGAAACAAAAATTACATCATAAGTCAAAATGAACGAATGCAAACATTTTACATTGAAGTCTCAGCCTCTAGACATAGAAATATGAAAATGTCAATAGCAAGGTATAAGAAAACCTGTAAATGATATTACAAGATCTTTCCTCCAATGCACAAGGAAAAAACCTTGTAGTTGAAACAGTATTGATACAATGCCCTCCAAACCCTGCCTTCCGAAAATGAAAGCAGAGTTACTCCCTTGCTATTGAGCAAGAAAAATCCTACAGCACATCCACAAAGGTATTTTTTTTTGGGGGGGTGGGTTTTGTCAAACACTGGATCTGAACAAAGATGCCCCTCCCCGGGGAAGAGCAAAGCTGCTGATGGAGGTTAAATAACCCTGGTGCTTGTGGTGCTCACAACAACAAATAAGCCAGGCTGTTCACACGTTGGAGACAGGCTAACTAGTGATTGCCAGAGCTTGTTCAGAGTTCAGCTGGTCACAAAGCAAGCAGAACTGGTTTCAAAATGAGATTTCTGCCTCTTTTTTTTTTTTTTTCAGTATTGATACAATGCCCTCCAAACCCTGCCTTCCGAAAATGAAAGCAGAGTTACTCCCTTGCTATTGAGCAAGAAAAATCCTACAGCACATCCACAAAGGTATTTTTTTTTGGGGGGGTGGGTTTTGTCAAACACTGGATCTGAACAAAGATGCCCCTCCCCGGGGAAGAGCAAAGCTGCTGATGGAGGTTAAATAACCCTGGTGCTTGTGGTGCTCACAACAACAAATAAGCCAGGCTGTTCACACGTTGGAGACAGGCTAACTAGTGATTGCCAGAGCTTGTTCAGAGTTCAGCTGGTCACAAAGCAAGCAGAACTGGTTTCAAAATGAGATTTCTGCCTCTTTTTTTTTTTCTTTTTTTTTTTTTTTCCTTTTTTTAAACGTCAACCACCCCCTTCCTCAACTTTTTAAACTTTGCTACATTTAAAATCTTCCACACCACATAGCTAAACAGTGGCCAACAGGCTTTATTTATATATATATATATAAAAAAACCAAAAACCCCAAAACAAACCCAAAACAAAACACCCTAAGAACTACATCTACAGAATGCACATCTTCCCATTGATTGACACATGCATCACGATTCAGTCAGTCCCGAGGGGTTAATCCGGATCGCTGAGCCCAGACTCCAGACCTGGGCTCAGAGCTGTGTAGGACAGCACTGCCAAAGCTTTATCCCCCTGTCACTGCCATGACATCTCCTGAACTCCCGTGCTCTTCTCCCCAGCAGGTTTCAGGGAGATGGAGTTCAGGTCCTGGCCCTGGGTCTGAGACCCCCGAGGTCTCACAATCCGCGTAGCCGGAGGTTAAACACTCAGTCCAGTCACAGGCAAACAAAGGAGAGGCTCCCACTTCATTCAATCTGATCTAGGAGTGCTTGGCACTGGACAATTAACTGGTGATAAAATTAAGTACTTCTTATGCACCCTTGATTAGACCAGCCACACTCTTGCCTAGTGCACAAACTCAAAACAGCGATCTTCGTTCCTGGAACCTAAGGAGGGTGCTCAGTTTCTTTTCAAGGTGCCAAAGTTCTCCATGTGTGTTGGGACAGAGTTCATGCTAAAAAGGGGTTTTTTGTATTCTCCCTGAACGAGTACTGAGAAAAGCAGCCATCTATCTGGAGCAGCAGTCAGTCTCCCACCCACATGTCCTGATTTTATTACACAAGTGAGGTATTCTTTAAAAAAAATTCTTAAAAAACAAAAAAAGGATTATTTTTCTTTTTTTTTTTTCAGTCTAAACCTGTCCATAGTAGGTGCCAGGAGCAGAGTTTGCTTCAACCCCATTTTCAACACAAAAAAGTTTAAACTTAATTTAATGAGACATACTACTTTCGAGAAGGTTATAAAACTTCTTGAAGACTAAATTCAGTGTACTCTGGTACAACTGAAAAAACCCCCTAGCATTTAGAAATGTAAACTTCAATTTATTTACAAGCTTAAAGACTGAAGGAAACAGCATTTCATATTGCTGAAATTTTGAGGGGGCTGGTTCCTAAGCTTTGGAACAGCAGACAACTTAGCAGCAAACCCCAGACGAGTATCAGAGACCACAGTGCAAACGTTGGACTTCTCCAACTCCTGTTACCAAAGCAGTGGTGTTGGCTCTACTCAGTTTAGGAATAAGCTTTAAATCTGCACTAACTACACTAAGAGGAATCTTAACGTACTCTGTGGATTTCAAGAGCACTCAGTGAAGCCAAGCCCCTCTTTCCTTATTACAGGTTGCAGCTGGGAAAAAAAAAAAAAAGCCAAGCAGATTAAAAATCCCCTAATTTCCAGGCTGGGACAGAATCAGATTATGAGACTTGGACTGGTTCAACATGCTGTTGAATGCAGTTGTGTGTGCAACCTAGATTCCCAGGGGAAAGAAAATTTAAAATGCTGGTACAAGTCCTTAGGTTGCCTGTCACACAATACACTTAGACTGTACAGATTGGCAAGCCTTTCCTACACGTAACACCCAGTTTTCCAAGCTTATAAAAAATGTTGTAGACAGGACACCAACAGTGAATATAAAACAGTTAAAAATAATTCTTAAAAAAAGCATGGAAGTGTGTCTTTTCTAATTAGTTTCAGAAACTGCCAAATTGTGTGTTCAGAAAACGACACGAGAATGTTGGTTTAACTCATGCACAATCCTCAGCTAGAAAACTACACTGTTGGGGGGCTTAAAAAACAAATATTTATTGCCAAAGTTAAACCTTCTATGAGAAAAAAGTTTTAAAATCACTTAGATTTATCAAACCACACAGCAGCATAAAGTGGGCACTTTTGTAAAAGTCTGCAAAATACCTAAAAGCTAATTTTTTTTTTGTTTTTATCATTTTTAGAGGGGGGAAATGATGGTTCAGTACTTGTTACGATACCATGGCAGTATTATTTGTAACCATTATAATTCAAATCTACTGACAGGCATCACTATCTGGTTATATTACACATTCACAGAGCAGGAACCACCTATTTGAACTCGCAGTATAGTGCAATTGCTTTGCAGCCCAGGTCTGCAGAGATTAAAAAGATAATTAGTAAAACCGACCAAAAACTGCAATACCTGTGAAAGTTACGTTTGTTAAAAGGCATTTACAGTAGTGAAGTCTAAAATCTCCATTAAAAAATCTATGGCCCCACACAATAGAACAATTACATTGAGCTGGAGTAAAACATTTTGCCATCATATGCACACTCACTAAGCAGTGCGTGGAGAGAGGGAACCAGTCGTCATGATAAGCTAATGGGATGAGGAGAGAACTTAAAAACAACAGCTAGCAAAATATTTGTTAGAAACCTTTCGTGCCAAGTCCTTTAAAAATGTCAGGATGATCGGCCTGTTGAGGTAAAAATTCAGTCCAATGCATCAGAAAAGACAAGTCTATGGATTTCTGTTACATAAAATAATGAAACAAATGGCTCAATTGTGTTGGTGCATCAGACATTGCTGTGAAGAACAGATTCAGTGCAACTGTTCAGAGCTGCTGGTAGAGGGCAGCCTGAAACAAACTGGGCCCTAGCTAGAGCAGTAGGCATTCAAACCATTTCAGGGCTGCACGGGTTGTTGGTTTTGCCTCATCTTTCCCGATGCTCTCAAGCAAAATACATGGTGTGCTGGGTATCATGGTGGATCTGCACGGCCTTGGCCAGGGCCTGAGGATCGCGGCCATTGCTCTGTCCTGACACGTGGCTGCCTTCAGCACTGCAAGAATGCAGACACAGAGAGCCATGAACCCTCGGGCCAAGCAGCGTAGGATTCCAGCCCCTTATCTGGCTAAGCAAGACAAGGCACACACAGCTCCTTACCTGTCGTGATCCTTGTCCACAAGATGGTACCTGGCCCTAAACGCCACCAGCCTGGCATAGTAGGCGGGAGCTGGAATAGAGACGGAGCGCGTGCACCGGACGTAGGTGTGGCACAGCTGGTAAGTCAGGAGCTGCAGCTCGTCTGCTGTGAAGCAGTTGTCATCCCACAAGACCTGGTAGTGGGAGGGCCGGCTGGTTCCCTGCAGAGGAGAGAGCAGCTGGAGAGCAGCAGCCAAACCAGCCGTGCCCCTGAAGGCTGCACCTCCTGCCAGCGCGCGGAGGGTGAGCGCACCCAGCGGGTGCTGCTGCCACTCTGCCAAGCCCTGGACAGAAGCAACATCACTCACTGGGACAGCTCTAGGGATTTAGTCCCACAGCCTGAGCACAGCAGAGCTGAAATGTTACCTGAATTCCTGCATGGCTACAGAGGTAAAAGTCAAATTCAGAAGGATGTGTGATGGTGCTGTCCACAGTTGTGCCTGCTGGTACGTTGCCGCTCTTACCCACCTATTAAGGAAAGTTTATTATTAGCTCATGTTTTTTTTGGAAGTGACCCAAAATACCTCCTAAGGTAGGCTCTACTTAAAGCTGTTGGAGAATTTACTGCTCAAACAGGTAGAAAAATATAAAGGTCATTTACACAGGAGGAATGAAAATGTTCTCTGAGTTCATTTTTAGAAACTTCACCAAATCCAATCAGTGTGTCACCAGAGAAAAACAAAATACTTGCCAGTACCATTAAAATTGCAGAGTGGGATAAAGCCTACACGAGTCATTCAGGACCTGAAAATGCAGGTTTTCTGGAATAAATTTATTTCATGCCCTTGTTTGCATTCACACCCCAGAGATCTGCATTTTTCAAGCAAAACTGAGATCAAGAACTTTCCTAAAATGGTCCCTTGGTTGGCTTGTGGATTTGTGGCATAGGCAAATTTTACAGCTGCAGAACAGGCAACAAACAGAACCACTAGTTCTGCTTATAGTCAGGAAGTCCAGACTATAAAAACCCAGACTACAGCTCCAGATACACAAATCCAGGGATATAGAGCACACCTACTCCAAAAGGGGCTGGGAACAAGCTGCTCCATCTGACTGCTTGATCTAGAGCATAAAAAAAGGTGAGGAACTGGTTATTTTGGTAGAGAGAGCACATCACTGCACAGAACTGCTGCTGCTTGTACAGATTAATGCCCTCTGGGCAAGATGGATACCACCCCACTCAACCAGACAATCTTACTTTCCTGTTGCCATCACCTCCTTCTTATGTAGTCAACATTACTTGCCCTTTCAGTTTTGTCAGCACAGAATAGTCTGGTGTGATGCCTTTTCTGCACAACAATGTAGGTTATTCCTGGTCTATAATCTTCTTCCAAACTAATACAGGCCTTCCGGATTGCTATCAGCTCTGGCCAAGCTACCTAGAAGCAGAAGATTTCACTATTAGGTGCTGAATTCAGTACATACTATTTTCATTTTTTCCATGTACAAATGCCACTTCGTAAGGAACGTGATCAGACAGGATAACTGCACATTGTGCTTGCCTGGGAAAACTCCACAAAACTGTTAATTGTCCCTGTAACAAATAAACAGACAAACTTTTGAGGGCTGATCCCTTCTGGCAAGAAACCACCACAATACCTGCTTCATCTGTCCTTCGGATACTCCCCCCCTGTAGTAAATGATCCGCGTGGGCTTGAAACGGGTGGATTTGTAGAACTGGATCAAGAGCTCTCGCACCATGTTGGTCAGGTCCTGGATGACCTCCTGGCTGTAGAGCAGCTCCTGGGAGGTCTCCTGGCGGGAGGTCTGGACGCGCACGGTGGCGCAGTAGCGGCTGGGGTGGCCGCCCATGCTGCCCACCACCGCCGCGATGGACGGCTTCTTCCCGTCCCCCGCCGGAGGGTGCGTCACGTCTGCTCCCAGAAAGATCACTGGCTGCTGGAACACCGAGGGCCTGTTTAATGTGAGCAAGGTTGATTAAATAAGAAATAATAACCAGACGAAGAAAGGGCAGGTGAGGAAGGGAAAAAAAAATATGACAGGTGAGGGAGGTGTATCCACCAAACCCTGACACAGGATTGAAACCCTGCCAGAATCTTTTAAGGGTGAAGTTCTCTGCCTCAAGTTTTTACAGTCCACAGAAAGTGAAAAGGAAAAGAGCACAGGCAAAGTTACAAGGACTTATCACAAGTCACTCTGCCTCACTCCTGACCATTTGGAAAGAAATACAGGGTGCTTAAGGAGGTGGCAGGAGGCAGAGGTAGACTGAGAGAATCCAAAGGCAGGAAAAAGAGAAGGATAAAAAGACTTTATGAGTTTGTTTTCACACACTTTGCTCTAACACTAGAGATATTCCTCAGCATAGGGCTCACTAGGCAGATTTTGGATGCAGAAGCATCCTCCTCTGACCACTTCAGATTGGGAGTATTTCTAAAGCACATAAGATTTTGAAAGGTATAATTTTAGTAAACAAAACAACACTGTCTTGCAGACTTAAAGGAGAGCTTTAGATTTAATCTCACCTTTGATGAGGTACAAGCACATTGTTGATTCCTCCAAGCTTTGCATTTATCTTCAGACACAGGTTGGACAGCGTTTGTGGTGAGGTTTTGACCACATTCTTTACCTGAACACACTGAGTGGCCATTCCTAGAAGAGTGTCACCAACCCGCTTGACTTCAGCTGTGACAGAAAAATAGTTTAGTGGTTCAATTACCTGAACACTCAGTAGTTCCATCTGCTTTCTCTCTTCTTCCCCCACCCCCTCCAAATGTTATTGTAATTCAGATCCTTAAAAGTTCACCAACTAAGGTTCACCTCAGTAACACACAAATACTCCAACCAGGCCTGACAAACCCACATCCCAAAGCCCTTTTCAGCAGAACATGCTCAGCCCCCCCCTGCTGCAGCCCAGTCAGATGCCCCTTCCTGTACAGCTCCTGGGCAGCCTCTGCTCCATACCATACACAGGTGTCTTTCCAGGTAGGATCACCACGATCAGCTGCAGACCCACGTAAGTCAGTTTTAGGTGTTTAAACATGGGCTCCACACTGTCTGCCCCCTGGGCGTACTTGCAGAAGCAGGGCTGGCCCTGGATGGGCATCCCCGCGTCCTTGGAGATCTTGCGCAGCTGGTCCGTGAAACTCCTGCCAAGGAAGCAGAGCAGGATTTGCCCTGGCTTCTTCACTCTGCTGCACTTTACTCTTCACTTTGTCTGTTCATTTTATCAACAAGATCCAAACTATTCCAGCTACTTCACAGCGCTCCCAACCTGACACTACAGCAATGTGTTTTTAGCAATGCCATCGCTGTGAGAAACACACCAGGGTTCCAGGCCTGTCTGAGGGCACTTCAGCAGCCTCAGTTTCTGTAATTTCAGGAGTCTTGGGGACACAAACACACACTTGTGATGAACATTCCCAGGCAGACTCCCAAACTCACACTGATAGAGGACTGGGAGATTTGTATTCATCTACCAAACTTATCTGAGCGTTACTGCAGCTATGGTTTTTACCAAACATTTCAGTGGTTCACACAACCTCTATCTTTAGGATTCTACAGAGCAGTTACTAATTAACTATCAATCTCATTAACCATTAATAAAATATATACATATATTCATAATTTATTAATATCCAAAACTTCTAATTAATTATTAATATATTGAAGGCTGAGGGGGTGGCCTATGTTGCCAGGAAGGTTAGGAAAAAATGTAGTTACTGTTTTAGAATAAGCAATCATTAGTTATTTGTAAAAACAGCAGAATACAAGTGGAAAGCAGCCTGCAGAGCAGAAAGCACAGCCTCAGTAATAAGGGAATTAATGCTTTTCCCAGCTGGCCAATCAGGCTGTGAACTTTGCCATAATCTTCTCCCAAACGCTGCAGAACTGTCAGTTCCTCTTTTTACTCTTAGATGCATTAAAATCAACTTACACTGCAGATCACCTTTCAGAAATATGAGAAGAATAAACCTTGAAATAGGTATCCTGAATAAATACAAAAAATACTTACTTCAGTAAGTCTTCCCTGCATTGTTTTTGAGGAGCAAAACAGGCAACAGCCCAAACTTTAATCTCAATGCCAGCATAGAACTGTTTCCCTCTCATGTCCCACACACCTTGGTTTGGTGTGGCCACAGTCTTGTTCTAGGTGAAAACCAAAGACAAATGAAAAATGAAAAGGTGCTTTGTTTTGCTTATAGCTGAAGAGTGCTCAGGCAAAGGGGGCCTTATGAGAAGATCGAGGAAACGCTTCATGAGTTTAAGTGCCCTCAGGAGAAGGTATTTAACAAGGTGTGGAAAACTCACCCTGCCTCCATACTGCAGCATGGGTGCTGGCAGAACTCTGCCTGTCAACTCAGTCATCTCGTTATGGACGACGATGCCAAACTCCTTCAGATACGGGTCAGGGCCACCAACCATGCTGTTACTTTTCACCTGGTGACAAGAAGGGGTTTTTCCTGACTATCATTAACGCTCCAGGTGCCTCTGTCCTCTCTGCCATGAAGAAGCTTTTTCTATTTAAAAGGATTTGTTTTAAAGAAGTTTTATTTTTTAACTTCTGCAGTTGTTGGTGATTCTAGTCATTGTTTCTGGGAGAGCCAGAAGGAGTGACAGGCACAGGGTGCTGAGCTGAAGAGCCACTCACCAGCCTGCTGATCTCCTCCTGCCGGTCCGGCGCGGATCTCGCGGTTGCTTTGATCATCGTGGAGGTCTGATTGTCCGTCAGCTTCTTGATGCACCTCTGGCCTGCCACGATGTTACAGACCTGCAGAGAGGGGAGAGCTGCCCTGACACCCTGCCCAGGGATCACCCGCAGGGCAAGGGACAGCTCGGGCCTTACCTCAAGGGGCAGGTACGTGTGTTTCTGCTCCTGTCCTACTTGGAGACAGGGGAGGTGAGGATATTTTAGCTGCAGACTGTACTTCTGCTTAAAATACTGAGCTACTGTACACTCCATTGCCTGCCCATTTTCCAGCTGCAGAGGAAACCTATAAAGAACATTTGTTCTGGTTAGACTCCTCCAGATTATTTTATTTTTTTCCAAAGGAAAAAAAATGGTATGGAAAAAATCTATTCCAGAGTAGAAATGCTGGAAACATTTTCCTTAGCTACTGGATCTCTTCTTCATGAAAAGATGTTATATATTATATGCTGAATTTTTCATAGTTATTTTAAAAACTGTAGCCTTTGATAACTGCATTTAAAAGTCAGGATTATAGCCCTTGATAACTGCATTTAAAAGTCAGGATACAGCTTCAATTTTCATGTGTCAAAGGAAATAAAGCAGTGGTCTAAACCCACACTGGGACTAAGCATTCTTGAAAGTTACACAGCTGCTCCACCTCCAGAAACAACTGTTCTTGCAGTACATCTAGTACGTTCATTAGGCTCAAGATTTGTACAATGGCCAGGAAGTGCCTGTGTACATACGTCTGGTGACTGGCTGGTCGCCGAGTTACGTTGCAGACTCGGTATTTTCTCTTCATCTGGCCACAGTGGGTAACCTCGACTTTCAGACCTGAAAACCCAACACAAGAGTCATCTAAATAAATTCAGGCATAGCAGTCACCTTTGAGACAGATGAGGGCAAAAAGGAACAGGCCAGTTTCCCAAGTGCCTTGCACATTTTCATGACAATGTCATACGACCAGGTTTCTGTATTTTGTTGCAGCAGCTTTAGAATGAGCCTTTACCTCTGATTTCTTTGGTAAATTTGACACGCTGGGAGTCTGTAAGAGGCTTAGTTTGTTCATTGATGTTCTGAATGTCCAAGACCTCACACATGAACTCAATGATAGGCTGGGCACGATAGAAAGCAGTTGCTGACACTAAGACAAAACAAAGAGGACATTTAATTTTGAAGCACTAAGAACTCTGTTACATTAGCGAGGCAGAATCTTCCACCTACCATCAATGTTGAGCATCATGTTCCACATGGCAGGTCTGACTGACTGGTGGAAACCAAACCAGACCTCCCTGCCACCACCCAGAGGGTGGTAATAACCTTCAGGGGGGGAGAAAAAGGAGCGACCCACAGGAGTGTACCTGGAAACAATAGAAATATTAATACTTGGATTATTCCTTTCTGATACACCGTTATACATTCGTGCTTATCATGTTTAAAAGTGCAGTAAATTCCTACAGTACATTAGAAACATTAGAGCTAACATGGCAAGCACACAAAGCCTGTAGTGCCAGTGCAGCTGGAAAGGCTCTAGCAAACTCCTGTTAGAAACATGACCAGCAGATGCAAGTCCCGAGTTCAGATCAGATTTCCCTATTCTAGTGCAAATTTGTAAGGCAGGCATTGAGTTACACAAGCACATCCCTCATCCCTTTGACTGCAGGTAAGTGTAGTAGCAGTAGAATAGGAGCAAGTAATAATTAATACAATTAATCTGTTCAGACAGACACAAGCTGAAGCCAGTCAGGAAGGTCCCCACCTCATGGAGGGAAGGTGCCGTGTGATCACATCCAGTGCCTGCACAGAATCCTCAGGAACCTCGTTCAGGTGCCCGGCCAGAGCTTCCAGCAGCAACTGCAGGCTGACCACTGACACCCACTGAATGGACACCTTGAACGTCTGGTCCTTCCCCTCTCCTGGAAGTGTCACCTCCATATCCACCTGACAGACAGAGAACACAACTAAGCATAAGCTCTTGTTATGGATTGCAGACTGTCACAACACCAATTCATGTTACGTTTTGCTCCCAAGTATACTCTGAATCTGTATTTTTGATGATTAATCCATGTAATTTCTCTTAAAATATTACAGATGGTTTCATTAGGATTTTGAAAGCTGGTAATTTAATCATCTGAGAAACTGCACTGAGGTATCTTTAAGTGTAAATTTTAAGCAGTAATTAGTACAGTGACATCAAAGCTCTGGAGAACAGTGAGTCATTTTTACTAAGCCAGCCAATTACCTGCAAGATGTGTTGTGAACCACACGGGAAGGCAAGAAAACCTTTTGGTCAAAAAGAAACTCACTGGGAAACACGAATCTCAGAGTTCTAGCACAGCGGTTGAGATGATTCTCACAAACCATCAGCCCAAAACATTTAACTGTGAACTCATTTTATGTATCCCCTGGGGATACCTGATTGCTGAGGAGAAGAGCAGATGGGGGTTACTTTTTTTATCAGGACTTGTTAATATAGATACTGATCTGCTAGAGCCAGGGTGGGGAGCACAGCCCAGGACACCCAAGGCTGCTGCAGCTGATCCCGTTGCTCTTATGGAACAGGAGGACATATCTCCACAGTGCAGCCAAACCAAATCAGCACAGTTGTCATCTACAGCTGCTATATCACTGAGGCACAGAACAAGAGAAAAAGGAAGTTTCTATCAGGGTGAAAAAAAATTACCTACTTGCAGCTGAAGGAGCACAACAGACCAATTCTCTCAGAAATCCTCCAACTAATGAGTTGCAAATTAGAAACCCAAAGACAACCTCCAGTAGAACAGCAGTGAGCTCCTAGAGACCCCTGCCTGGCGCTGCCTGTGGTTTCCCAGTCTACACTAATGTCTGACAGCTTTTGGGTTTATGACAATCAGAGTTTCACATGATACTGTAACAACTTCCCACAGAAACTTGAAACTCACAGCAACACTTACTCTGTCCCTGCCGATGGGCAGCGGGTGTGCAGTGTACATGTTCCTCTTTCCATCATACCCAGGCTGCCGATCTCCAAATATCTGCATCTTGAAGTGCCTCACCATGGTGTCCACCACCTCCCTGCAGGGGGGTTTATCGAGTTAGGTTGGAGAAAATCCAGCTACAACCTTACACAGTTTGTCATTCCTTTTTTGCCTTTGCAAAGTAGGAGAAACTACCAGGCACCAGAGCATTCCCAGGTCACCCCAGATTAAGATACTCAGGTGTCACCCTGCAGGTGTCTATAGGCAAGGCAGGTATCTGGGCTGCCAGCAGAGCCATGGGCAGTTTGGGTCGTGGAAAGTGAGGAATTTCTAGGATGTGCAGTTTTCTTAAATTGAGGTGTATAAATCTTTAATTTTAATTAAGCTGCTCATACCTGTTCACTCTTCGGGGGCGTTTTTCTGGTTTGATATCTACATCATAGTGATAAACATCAATCTTCGGGATCTGAACCTGAAAGTGGTTGGCCAGGAGACGGATGGGCTTCCCAACAGTTCCCAGGCCTGGGCGACGGGGCGGCTGGAAAAGGCTCGTGGGGGGCCCTGGGGAAGGCAAATAAATATGTATGAGATGTAACTGATCACTCGGTGCAGCAGCCTCTCAGGTGTGCTTTAGCTGAGACATCTTTCTGACAGGGCAGGAAGAAACCTTACGTAGCTTTCTGAGGTGGCAAACGGAGGGGTTGCAAGTGGCCCAGCCTTCCAGCTGCTGGGTAAAAACAAACATGTTCCCTAAAGCAGGTTAGTGCCATAACTCACCCTCACACTTTTAGGGACATTACTGCGGTTATGAACTTCAAAGAGTCCTTGAGATGGAGTGTCACCATTTACATCTTATGTGTTTGTATGTGATGTAAAGATAAAGACACTCCTGCCACCATTTCTAGAACCAGCCAGTAGCTACACAAGACACATTTTTTCATTGTTTTCACTATAGGCTTAAAGTTCAGCTGTTAATGATTGCTAGTCTCAGCAAACTTAGGACAGACACCCCCATTTTTTATCTGAAAAATGTTATTACATGAAAATGGGTAAGGAATATTTTTATTCTAAACTGAATTTAAAACGTGCTTCCGTACCAGATCTAAGCTACAACTGTTTTGTTGTTTCCTTTGCATCATGAACTCATCACTTTTGATGACAGTGAAATGCTTTCCCCCTAGAGCACCATTTCAGCCAGTTTAAAATTTCAACAAAAAGAAGGTAGAAAGGAAAGGTTTAGACTTTCTTCTAAGGAGAAAACTTGGGGAGAAAGCATAAAGACAGGTCAGACTCCTACCAGATGCAGAGAAGAGAATTTATTTGGACAAAAGTAAAAGCTTCAGCCATAGTTCTAAGGAGGAATTAATTACACACTTGCAAAAGTACTCACACACAAGTAGTCACTAGGTAAGTGTGTAGTTAACTTCCTCAAAGTGTTAAGATCTGAGATACCATGTTAACGAGATTAACAGACTTTTTTTTAAATCTATCTCAGCCTCAGCTGACTCCGCACATAAAGCCAATTGAATGAATGTATTTTCATGGTGTTTGTCCATATCTGCTTGCACTGAGTGTGGTCAAAGTTCCTTCCCTCTGTTGTTGAGTAGCAAAGGAGAGGGCAAAAAGTATTCCAAGGATGCAATAATAACCCACTTGGTAGCAGGGTGTCTGCTGGGGCCATGGACATCCCTGGTGAGCAGCACTGGCTCCACACCCACCAGGGACTGACCATGACCAGCCAGGAGCTCCCAACACCAGAGTGGGACCAGTTGTGGGCTGTGGTCAGTGCTTTAAGCACCTACAGTGTCCTGAGGAGTGTGAATCATTGAGGGCAATCAAAGTTTGCTGTGCTTATTTGGATACTAGAGATGATCCATTAATCCTGTGCTAATTAGACTGAAGTAAGTGCAGGCACTGATCTCCTGCAAGAGATTAAATGACAACTATATTTACCCATTTTCCTCCCTCAGTATTGACAAGTTCTGTGCACGGGCACAGCCACACTGACCTCGCTCCCTTTTGATCAAAGGAGATAAAACTTCATCTTCTCCTTTCTAAAGTTCCTTCTCAGAGGAATTCCAGTGGATGAGCTCAGAACTGTTTTCCCATTTGAAGCTGAACTGATCAGGATTTTTACCCAACTGGCCTGACTAGAGCTACGTGTGCTGTTATCTTTTAATTTCCTCTGCTCTGCGTTGATTCTGCTCTGGGCATCTCGGCCAAGCTGCCCCAGACAGGAAGCAGGTTCACAGAACTAAAAGAGGATCCACTTCTGTGGTTGGAAGCCAGAGGGGACACAACATGCACACACACACACACACTCACCAGGTCAGCCCCTCACTACCTGAACACCTGGATTCTCCTGGGGGTGCACCTTCGTGTCAATAAACACTTCCCCCCACATCAACGTTAACACTACTCTGATTATCACAACAGCTCAAACAGGAACTTGGTGGGTAAGATCAGAGCACGTTGGCCAACAAGGACATCTTGCAGACATTTGCTAGAAGAGCAGCCATGGAATGAGACACAAGTAGGAAAACACCACACGGGCAGTTCTACCAACATTCAACCAGAGTTTGATTTAAAAAAACCCCAATTTCTGTGTTTTACAAAAGCACCACGTTAAATCCCTAAGGATGGCTCGATGTCAGGAACACAACTTCTCACTGCCCAGCTGCCAGGGGGGCAGGCAGGGAGCGCGTCCCGCGGGAAACCTCCGGCAGCCCCGGCCCGGCCCCCGCC